ATAAATAAAATAAAAATTTAAAACCTGAGGCAAAAGGATTGCTTGAGCCCAAGAGTTAGAGGTTGCTGTGAGCTATGACATCATGGCATTCTACCCAGGGCGACAGCTTGAGACTGTCCCCCCTCCAGAAAAAAATTATCTGGTGTACTCAATTCTAATATGAAGGCAATAGATGAGCTAATATAAGGGGTGGAGTAAGGGAATTAGTTAGAGGGGTGGGGGGAGAGGGAGAGACAGGTTGGTGGTCACGGTGTATGGCTCACCTCTTGGGGGTGGAACACAAGTATAAGAGGGACTTAAAAAAATTTTTTTAAATAGGCTTGGTGCCCATAGCTCAGTGGTTAGGGCTGGTGGGCTCAAACCCAGCCCAGGCCTGCTAAACAACAATGACAACTACAACAAAAAACTAGCCAGGCATTGTGGTGGGCACCTGTAGTCCCATCTACTTGGGAGGCTGAAGCAAGAGAATCACTTGAGCCCAAGAGTTTGAGTTCTCTGTAAGCTGTGTCCCCACGGCACTCTACCAAGGATGACAAAGTGAAACTCTGTCTCAAAAAAAAAAAAAAAAATTAAAAATAGCCGGGTGTTTTGGCAGGCAGCTGTAGTCCCAGCCACTTGGGAGGCTAAGGCAAGAGAATCCCTTAAGCCCAAGAGTTTGAGGTTGCTGGGAGCTGTGACCCCATAGCACTCTACCTAGGGCGACAAAGCAAAGCTCTGTTTCAAAAAAAAGAAGAGCAGCCTGAAGAATAATAGCAAGACCCTGACTTTACTATAAATAAAGAAAATTAGCCAAGTATACTGGCATATGCTTGTAGTCCCAGCTACCTGGAAGGCTGAGGCAGAAGGAGAGTTTGAGCCCAGGAGTTCCAGGCTGCAGTGAGCTATGATCATGCCACTGCACTCTAGTTTGAATGACAGAGTACGACCCCCACATTAACTCACTGCCAAGCTAAAAGCCCTGGAGGATTTACCTCTCTTCTCAGACCACTACCAGGACACTCAACTAAGCCATCTCTACCCAAAGCATATTGGAGTCTACAGAGAGTTTGTCTCAGGAAGCCAAAACAGGCAGGTTCAGTTGTAAAGCTTTTGCCTTGAGGACTGCAACCACAGCAGCGTCTCGTCTGACAGGTGCTCAGAATCACAACTTTGAAACAGAGCTTAACAGTGCCCCCTCCCGGCTGTTCAGAGGCAACCAAGTCCCCACAAACCAATGCTCCAGCATCTGTCTTGCTAACAACCAGCCACCTCCCCACAGGTGAAACACAGAGCTGGAGCACACCAGTGAGCATCTAAGTGAGTAGTTCAACTGGGACTTTCCCTTATCCAATCCATTCTTTGGAACCTGAGCCAACAGTTCTTATCATTTCCTCTCTTGACATGCCATCCAGTTTATACCTCTAACCAAGCACCCTACAGCTGCACCGGTCGTCTCAGGATATATTCTGCTCCTTTGTAAAGATTCATTAAAGTCTCAGCCCCTGATTTCCCCCAGTGTGGCAGTTAACATGTATAGCAACATCGCCCACTCCAACAAGGGGACCATGAAGGCTGCAGCACAGGGTTACTCAAGTCCAAAGGGGCCCATGATGTCACCTTCCGTTAAAATACAGCACTAATCTTGTTACTTCTAGAACTACCCCAACAGCATCCGCCCTGGCTGCCGCCTCCACCCCCTTCTCCTCTCTTAAGAGAGAAACAATAAGGTTTAATTTCCCTTTCCAATTTACCTTGAAATGAAAACTGACTTCAGCCAATATGTACTGCCAACAAATGATCCAGGCTGGCTCCTGGGAAAACAAGACTATTGCTAAGCTCTCCTTCTCCTCCCCACCATGCCTATTCACATACCCACTCATTTTTACAGTCCCACAATTAATTTTAAATACATTCTCTTATTAGTTCTGCCTTACCATTAGGAGAGTGTGTAATGAGTTTCCTTCTATTTTATGTTTTGCTAACACAAGGCTAATGTTTCAAAAGAAGGGAAATTCATTTACACAATGAAATTAACAGAGCAAACAGCTTTTCCAATTCTTTCCAATATACCAGAAGGTCTCTCCACAGACAGACACTGCATGCAGAAACAAAGCTGCATGGTCTATGACAAAATTGGACCACACTATTGAGCAAACCCAAAGTTTCGTGATTTCAATACCATCTTAAATAGTATTCTTGCTGACAATCTTATTCTGACGCAGTCACCACCTCCAAAGGGCCCAGAACTGAAAGGTAGAAAATTCTAATTCCAAAATAACACAAGTATAACATTCCAGGTGTAAGGAGTCAAATGGCTATGACCAAAAAGACCAGAATTTGGCATGAATGATTAACTGCAGATTTAAAAAAATTGTCTCTTCTCTTTTCAGGCATTTGGTAAATTGCCAGTGCAAAACAGGCTATTAAATATTCTAAAGTGTCTTTCTGCAAAAGTAACAACAGGAAAGATGATGACAAGGAAATCATGGTCATCCACACTCAGTGGAGCTCACACATCTCCACCAGCGCCATGAAAGGTTTGCCAAATTCAGAACCTTAATACATTAACTAAATGATCATCATAACCTTGATCTCAACAAGAGTTTTCATAGGGCCCTGCACTACCTCCATGAGGAAATTTTCCTTTGGGATGAATACCACTTAGAAACAAACATCCATAAACTACTGGGGCCTAAAAAATAAAAGGAGGCCCCCAATATACTATATACTTAAATCTAACTTTAAAGAACACGGGACAGGCTCGGTGCCTGTGGCTCAAGTGGCTAAGGCACCAGCCACATACACCCAAGGTGGCGGGTTTGAATCCAGCCTGGGCCTGCCAAACAACAATGACGAGTGCAACCAAAAAATAGCC